TGTTGGTCCCAGCAGGAGTCAATAAAAGCTTCTTGGTTGTGCGGATTTATTGTTTTTTCTCAGAATCCGTTTAAGAGCACAAACTTATTTTTGGAGAATTTTTAAGCGTGGCGTGAAGAATAAGTCGTTTTTATGAAATATCGTGATTGTAAGATGAGATTTTGGGTGATTTATATCTGTTCTAAATCATTTGTATTCCTTTTTTTATCTCCTTGAGTAAATTTTATGCTCGTTTTATTTTTAAATTTATCTCTTTCTAACCAGCCTCATGTCAGTTATGTGTGTTTTTTACAGATGAGTATGTTTAAAATCCAAGGATTCTTTTTTGTTTTTGCAGTTTCTGGGTTTGATAAATGGTGGAGTTTTTCAATTTCAACAAAAACTAGCACGACTTTAAACCCATAAGTGGGTTTTAGGGTTCAGAGGGTGAACTGTCGGATGGATTGCCTCGAAATTTTGAGCAGATGTGAAGCCTAGAAAATGGATCTAACTGATTTTTAACTTCTACATCAGCTAGATGAATTGCCACAAAGGTTTATTCTGGCATTCGTGGATCTCTCCTCTTCACGAAGTTAACATTTTCAGTTTGGAGTGAAATCCCTAGAAATACTTTTGGACCGCTGCCACTTAATGTGACTTTTAATTACTCTGGTGCTCGTCTTCAAGCCCTTTAAAATGTGTAATCCTTTCGTTTTCTCGCCATACACCTGCCAAACTAACGACATCCCCGTCAGCTTTTCTGTTAAGCGCTAATTACCAAAGATTAGCAAATTAACACGCTTTTAAAAACCGGCATGTTAGCATTGTCGCCGCGTAGCCGCAAGCGCTGCCGAGCGCAGCCTGGCAGAGCCGCTAGCATGGCTCTGGTATCTTACAGCGAAGCGCTTCGAGCTGGAACCACCGCGCGGGACTCATTCTGGGAGATAGTGCAAAATGTTTTTATTTACAGGGAGGGAAGCGAAGATAAGGATGAGCGGCATGAGGAAAAAACCTGTGACGAGAGAGTGAAAGGGAATGACAAGCAGTTGCAGGCATTGTCTTGGAGCAGAGCAGCGGGGAGGAGAGCGAGGCAGACAGTCATATGAACCGCTCGTATGGAGCTCCCTCCTAATGACTCCCACTGTGCCATTTTTACCAAAGGCAAGGATTACCATTAAGCCCGAGTCACATCTTCTCACATGATCCTCCATCCTGCCCAAGGTTTATTCGCACACAGGCGCAGATGTGAGCACACACTGAATGGTAGCAGGGGAGAGCGAGGGATGAAAGGGAGGTCGGCTGAGCGGCGGTCACGGGGAGCAGATATGTACACGTGTCCGACCCACAGAGGATCATTGTAGTAGCTTTCCAAACAATAATAAGCCGCCGACTTCTCATACTTCTGTGCATTTTTCGCGGGTATATTTGCACCTTAATGTCCATTCCAGCCATTAAATTATCCCCACGTGACCCCTGACCTTTAAATTAGCTTGTTTACGCCGCTAATCTATTCATAATAGTGTTGTAGGGGCGTACATTTAAGGATAACTGATGATGATGGACGGACAAATTGGCAACAATTGGTTTTAGTTATTTCAAAGTAAACTCGGCAAAAGTTTAGCTCGGGTTAAACGCTTCCTATAGACTTAATAAAAAGACAATCAGCAACTAGCCGGCTCCTCCTGTCCTGAAATACGACCTTCAGTGCATTTTCAGGTCAATAGCGCTTTGAATTATTAAATACCCAGATGTCTATTATGATGATAAATCATAGAAAATTCATTTAGGGCCAGCACAAGACTCTGAGGTCAAAATAATTTATAATTGTAACTATTACAGTATTCATCCTGGCGTTTAAAAAATGTATAAGGATGGAGACTTGAGGAAAAATGATATTTAAATGGTCCTAACAACCTTGCCGTCCAAACAGGCCTCCCCTAACGGTTCTCATGGGGAACATGGGAACCGTGCATACATAAGGAATGCGGCTGCATTTTCCAACGTACTACATGAGAATGAGCTTAGCGCTAGCTTTGTGTAATCCTCCCCGTCACGCCCCAATTATGAAACGATCCATCCCGGCTGGAATTATGATAACCAATGTGAAGCGCATGTGACCGGGCGAAGAATCTTTGACTTTCGTGTGTTTGGAATGGGGAGAAAAAAATAAAAAAGTTTCTCTTCTTAGAAATCTGCTGCCTCGCTTCTTTGACATTGTTTTATGAGCGTTTAAATAATGAACTCTCTGAGAACAGAGTGGCAGTGACCCAGAACTAAACTGGGTTACGTCTCTCACAAATATTATTTTTGGTAGAAGGAATACTAATGTCCTTTACTACTCCCTTAACTATTATCGGCGCCATAAATAATTAAACTTACAGTCCTCATTTCACATAAAAACCTGCCTGTGAGCAGTGCTGGTACACTGGGATGTCCCCAGCTCAGTAGATGTGGATCAGAGCTGATGAAGGTCATTTTGTATCTGCAGGAGCTTCACCTGATCCTTTGTTTACGTCCACTGTACCTCATGGATTGTACATTTATCACGGTTTCCTTTCCGATCTCTTCAAGATGGCGCCGAGGACGGCTGTCTCGGTGTGTTGTGTCTTATTTTCTTAGCTAACTTAGTTGTTAGTCGGCGTTCTCATTGTACCTTACTGTACATTTACTGTTGCACCAACCCACCAGAACTAACTCCTCGTATTGTGTAAACTATGTCTCGCAAAAAATCTGATTCTGATAATTAAGATGTGCAGCAATAGTAAACAATAACTGATAAATTGATAAAAGCAAACTTTCTATTGCTCATGTGCTGATGTTTTTAGCAAAGCAACACATTATTCAGGCCACAGGAGAAGCTATATCTATAAGAATAATGTCTTTACTGATCCCTTGTTGGCTTCATACATGTGCACTGTTGGCTTTGTCATGGTTCCCTTTACTAACCAAACCCCCACAGTCGCTCTCTGTTTGCCAACATGGAGACGCCCTCCTCCTCTGGTCACTACAGTGTTAAAAAAAATAAGAGGCTGGACACTCCTAATTTGCATGGCACGGCCTAGATCTCAAGTCTATGCAAATTATCAGCTGCAAACATGATGTAGCGTCTCTCAAGATGCATCAACAATGTCGTACCATCACAGCTCACTAACATCTAAAAATATAGTATTAATGTACTCAGTTCTGCATCTCTGTTTGGGTTCATCTAATGGGACGATTTAAGCGTCAATCGTACTGCTTCGGTGGCGCCGGTCATCTGCTTTGCATATCACTTAAATTCCTGGTTTTGTCACGCGAAAGCACTTGTGGTTATTTAAGCTAAAACTCTGACTTTTTCTCTCCTCGAAATCCTCCCCATCACCACCATTTGATGTGCGAATCTGCAAAAGCATCTGCTAATTAGAGGGTGTTGATCCCCCGGAGGATCGCTGATAAACTCGCTGTTGTTATATAATATCTCACAATTAACAGCTATCCGGTGCCCTCTCTCGCAATCCGGGGTGAAGCTTGCAGGGAATTATGGGAAGAATGTAAGACTTTGCATGTTTTTGAAACAGCGTGCCTCGCTGATTCTGCCCTAGATTCTCGGTCCTTGGGGTTATCGCTGTAGGTTTAGTCAACAAAAACAATCTTTTTTTTTTTTTTTCTTTGTGCAAAACTGCCTCGGGGCTATCATAGCAGCACACCAGAATAATCAAGATTTTGCCACTTCTATCATCGGCTCATTTAGAGTAATCAAAGGTTTCTGTTTCCACCTCAGCTCCTTCACCTGCAGAACAGTGAAGCAAATAAACAAACGGCGCTCGAGCTGGAGGGACGGTCGGAGGGAGAGTTCAAACAGGAGCGGAGAAGAGGAGGTAAGCAGGAAGAAACAACACACTGGAAGCAGAGTCGCAATAATTAACCACGTCTTTTCACACCACCTTCACGTGAAGTTCACATCAGAATTGTTATATTTTCTGTGTCTCAAACTCCCCAGCAGCACACACGCCATCTCAAAAAACTCCATAATAATAGCAGACGACACTGATCACCCCCTCAGTCCACGCTTCACATTAGCACCACCTGGTTGGAGATGAAGGGCGGGGAGAGGAGCTCGCTTTACTTCGGTTAGCTCTGCTGTATGTTTCTGTACCGACTGTTTACAAAAAAAAAAAATTCCCTCTGGGATAATATCTGACTCCTTTTGCTACGAGGCAAACATAAACCAATAAAAGACAGCGGTATAGGCAGTTCCAATGCACTCCTACGGTGTTGCAAATGGTAGTCTGTGTGATTTAAAAAACTGTGAGGAAAAGATAAACTGCGAGGCTGTTTACACGGGTAAAAGCGTTTATGCTACACATGCAGCTGATTGCACATCAAATGCACGGCGATGCGAACGTGTTGCATGCTGATTTGCTCTGATTTGAAAGAAATCTCCATTTGTAGCAGACTCTTTTTGTCTGTGCGTGTTTTGGAGGAGTAAATATCTTTCATGTTGCTATGCACTTGACAGTAAAAGCAGGCGTTGGGTTGAACAAAGAAGGAAGTTCTTAAAGAAAGGCCTTCCTGAGAGGTCACATGACCCTGAACACTGACAGAAACATCTGAGAGATTTCTTCAATATACTATTTGAAATTTTTAAAATACCTTAAACACCTGAACCTGTGCCAAAGGCTAGATTTCAGGGGAATTAAACTATTACTTCACAGCAAATTAATTTCCATACTGTGTTCATAAAGGAAACGTTGCAGTACATGGGTCCTCATTCATCATCATTTGTGCTTCAATTAGACTTTCTTACATTCACTGTTGCCTTCATTCAGGGAACTGCAGACACCCAGTGACTTTTTTTTTTGTTAGAAGAATAACTTGCATGACCGGATCACGCCGCCTCCTTTGCCTCCATCCCCAGTAGGAAACATGATGTTATGTGATGGGATCACGCGGGAGTCAGAAAATCCGGGTAGTCATGCGCTAATCCGGTATTTAAGGTCGACGGTTCAGCGGTTTGGGGGGGAATAGAAGCAAAGGCCTGCGAGGGCGCATGGAAGGGGGAGTTTTACACTCACTCGTTTGGCACAGAAAGTATTTCCTGGTGTGTTGAAGTGCTGCGCGTTTGTTTTTGGATGTTAGCTGAAGTGTGCGTCTGCAGGTAAATAATCCCGTGCGTAATCGACTCGAAAGCAGCCGTGCGTAAAAGTTGGCACCACTCTCTTTGGATAATGTGGCGGTGCGGTTTTTTGGTGCTCGTGGGCGCCGTGTTCGTGAGCGCTCAGTTCCCCAGGGAGTGCGTGACACCGGAGGGACTGAGGAGCGGACAGTGCTGCCCGTCGCCCTCCGGACTCAACAACGACCCGTGCGGCTCCAGCACCGGGCGCGGACAGTGCGTGTCCATTGCGGTGGACGCGCGTCCTCACGGGCCTCAGTACCCGCACGATGGACGGGACGACCGGGAACGGTGGCCCGTACGCTACTTCAATCGCACTTGTCAATGTAACGGGAACTTCAGCGGGTATAACTGCGGTCGGTGCAAGCACGGATGGAGCGGAGCCAACTGTGACCAGCGAGTTTCTGTTGGTGAGTCCTCCTGTTCCAAAGAATATCACAGCTGTATGAGCCAGAGATATAGATAGGCTGGAAAGTAGCTAGATTTGAAGCTGATGTGGATTTCTCAGTGGCATTTAAACCTCAGGATTTCTATCCATTTAATGTTGATCTAGCTATCAGTTTCGATCTCATAAAACTGGAATATTTTTAATAAAATTCAGATTAGGGCCCAGAAAAAAGTGCTCAGAAACTTATAATAAAAAAAAAAACGTAATTTGATTTCTCGGTCATTAAAAACTGATCCCCGGTTAACGCATGACTGATTGAGTTAATCCAATTTTTCCTCTCCTATAATCCCCCAGTGAGGAGAAACGTGATGCAGCTCAGCGCGGATGAGAAGCGTGCGTTCGTGAGCGCGCTGGACCAGGCCAAGCGCACGGTGCACCCCGACCTGGTGATCGCTACCCGGCACTACTCCAACATCTTCGGGCCGGACGGCACCAGCACGCTGTTCGAGAACATCACCATCTACAATTACTTCGTGTGGACGCACTACTACTCCGTCAGCAAGACGTTCCTGGGCGCGGGGCAGGCCAGCTTCGGGGGCGTGGACTTCTCACACGAAGGCCCCGGGTTCGTCACCTGGCACCGGTACCACCTGCTGCAGCTGGAGCGGGACATGCAGGTGAGGAGCTGCATGAGTGTGATGCAAACTCAAGACACAAAGCTTTGGCAACAGTCTGCCTCATTTTTTTTTGAGTTATGACAACTTCAAATGAAATTCTGCTCAACCAACATTGAGTTTAGGGAATTTTCTTTCCCACATAGGCACAATTACCCCCAAAAAATTAGCACCAAGCACCTTTTCCACAATATTTAAAATTATTTTAAGTGTTCATATCCTTAATCGTAACAAGTTGGGGGATTTTTAAGTTGGCAAATTAAATTAAAAACATAAATGAATGAATAAAGTTGGGGGTGAGAGGGCTTAAGGTGTCAAATAATGCAAAAAAAATTGAGTTTAATTTACACAAAATATTAATTTGATGCAAAATTTCTGTGTCAAATCCACCTGTTTAAATGTGTGCAACTTAAAAGGTTTATCTAGATCAATAAATGTGATTTTCTTTTAATGATGCATTTAACTAAGTGGTAGGAATATGTCCCCTGACTGACTTTTCAGAGTGTCTTTAATTAAGGAAAATATTCTAATCGGTTGAGCATCCTCTTGTTCCCGCCACTTGACTGCTTATCGACATCTTGAATTCACCAATACGTCACCAGCTAATAGCCCGTAGCCTGTTTGTTTTTGCATTTCCCCACAACCGCACCAGCGAGGAAATCATATCTGTGGATGCGATGTCACGCCTTAATAAGCGAGCGGCGTGCAAAATGTGACCAAACACTTCACGCGCTGAGGTTTGATTTGATCTGCGCGCCAACAACAACAGCAGCATCCAAAAGAAGCTCCGTCGAGTTCAGGAGCTGACAGACTGCACCTCTCGCCAAAGTGACGCTTGGAGAACGTTCATTATCGGTTCGGCTGCATCCGTCCGCCAGCTAAGCACAGAAAGTGAGACGGAGCCGCTGTGGGGATTTCAAGCCCTGACAGTGTGCTGGACTCCCGCAGAGCAACTCCATTCTTATCTTGTGCGAGTTTGTGGTGAATTCCTGCTCCCTAATTAGTCGCTTGTTTTTTCGCAAATCGGCCCCACTGGCAGCGTTGGAGGGAGAGCTCGCTTCTCGAAAGCAAGATATCAGCTAAGATGACTTAAAAAGTGTCTCCGGCTCTTTATCCAGACGCATTTAAATCACATCTGGGGGAGTGCGGGCCCTGGGTTTTAGCAGAGCGGTGGATTATTTTGTTCTGTTGGGGAGAAAACGTCTGTCTTGAGCTCCGTCTTAATGCCTGGTCTCATATCAGAAAGTGTAGAGTTTAAGGACGGTATTTATTTTTTTTGTCCTTTGAAGAAACCGTAATGCAGAATAAATGTAGAAAGTAATTCAGGGATGATGATGAGAGTCTAACTTTGAGCCTCATGAATATTCTTCGCCTATAAATCCTGTATTGACACATTTTGCTTTACCTGTATCTTAAGTTTCTCCGTTTCCACATCCATCAGGGATTCACGCCGCCGCATAAATTCTCGACTTTTGTCTTCGTATATATTTTTACACAGTGCACATAAATCATTTCCACAAAGGCGTTTGAAGAACCAATTTTCATTTATTGCACATTTGCTCATTCACCGTGAACAGATGTCGCCGCGACTGCCCTCAAAGCAGATCACAGTGTGTGAAAATACCTCATTTATTCTGTGCATTCTGACACCGTCACCGAGTTCTGGATACTTGTGAAAATACATTAAAATAAAGCCCGGTGCAGGTAAAAACTTTTAAGTCCTCACGCTCTCTAACCCAGCGTTTATTCACATCCAACAACCAGGACATGCTGCAGGACCCCTCCTTCGCCCTGCCCTACTGGAACTTCGCCATCGGTGGAAGCACATGTGACATCTGCACAGATGACCTGATGGGAGCCAGGAGCAGTTTTGATATGAATTCCCTGAGTCCCAATTCCATCTTCTCCCAGTGGAGGGTCCTCTGTGAGAGCGTGGATGACTACGACACGCTGGGAACCATCTGCAACAGTGAGCCTTTTGTTCGTTTATCATGACAGACACACTGGTGCCTTTTTTTTTTTCTTGTTTTGTTACAGAGCTTTTCTTTATTCTTCGAGAGCAGAGAAAATGCAGGCATGACGTCTGATATTCTGTCTCCTTCAGGCACCGAGACGGCTCCGATTAGAAGAAACCCGGCAGGGAACGTGAACAGGCCGATGGTCCAGCGTCTACCGGAGCCTCAGGACGTAGCGGACTGTCTGCAGGTTAACACTTTCGACACGCCGCCCTACTACTCCACCTCCTCCGAAAGCTTCAGGAACACCATCGAAGGTGAGCGGCTACCGGTCGTGCAGTCTTTCTACATTTACATGCAGCGCTTTCTTATGCCTTCTCTTGTTTTTTGTGCAGGCTACAGCGCCCCCCAGGGGAACTACGACCCCGTGGTGAGGAGCCTCCACAACCTGGCTCATTTGTTCCTGAATGGAACAGGAGGACAGACTCACCTCTCGCCCAATGATCCCATCTTTGTCCTGCTCCACACGTACACCGATGCGATATTCGACGAATGGTTGAGGAGACACAGTCCAGGTGTTTTAAAATCCGGTTAAAGCTCCAGCTCGTATTTGTTGTTTTTGCCACATTTAAGCTAACTGGATGTGCTTCCTCACAGATTCACTTGTGTATCCTGAAGAGAACGCCCCCATTGGTCACAACAGGCGCTACAACATGGTGCCCTTCTGGCCTCCGGTGACCAACTCGGAGATGTTTGTGACCGCTCCGGAGAACCTCGGTTACTCTTACGAAGCCGAATGGCCAGGTAGACATTCGGATTCACCTCTATCGCTGCCCCTTCAGCTGCTTTTAAAGGTAATAATCGTGTGCTTCCACCTTCCCAGGTCAAGCTTTCACTCTGACTGAAATCATCACCATGGCCATCGTCGCTGCTCTCGTCCTCGTGGCGCTCATCTTCACCGTCACCACGTGTGCCGTGCGCGCACGTTCGTACAAGATGGAGGGCCACCAGCCTCTGCTGGGGGATCAGTACCAGCGCTACGACGACGACAAAAGCCAGTCTGTGGTGTGAGATGGCCGACGTGCCACGCAGCTGTGTTTGAATCAAAAAATAAAACAAAGAATCCTTTTGCTTCGTTCATTTCCATACATCAGAAACTGGTGGAGTCTCTTTACAAATAGATGTCAACAGTTACCTTTTTTTTATCTCTAGTTTTTGTAAAGAAAAGGTGTTCGTTAGTCGGTAGGAGTGTGGCTTTGCAAACATCGCGAGAAGACTCTCTTGGGTTAAAGCGAATAGAACAAATGGAGCGCCAGGCCTCGACGGTGATGCCTTCTGTAGTTGAGTGTTTGATGTTTCACTTAAAAGGTGTAAAGAAGTGATCCTGAATGTTCACATTTACAGTAACGGAGAGAAGAACAGAGTAATATATGCACAAAAATAATAATTCAACTCCTGCCACATTCACAGGCTTTCCTGCTCTCTGTGTTTATTTTCGTTTAGCTGCACTAGTGCCAACGGCTCATGTCAGGGAGCCACGACGCCCACAAGGGGGTGCAGTTGTCCAATTTCTGAAACTCCCACCGGCAACAAACAAACAGTGCAGGTGATTCATGAGAAATGTAGCCAGGTTTTCCTTTTCTGTCTTTTTTTTTTTTATAAACTAAATTATACGTTAAGCAAAAAAATATATGAAATTGTGTGTTTCTCTGTTTTTACATTTATGTACGATGCTGTTGAATCTGGGTGCATGTCAAATTATGTCACTGATTAAATGTTATCGATACGACTTTGCGCATAAAGGTGAGCAATGAATGCCTCAAAGCCGCTTTATTTATTATTTTAATGGTCTGATTCTGCTGGTGTTAGAGGAAGTTGGTGAAACGTCAACCGGACATGTGAATACATCCAAATATACAGACTTAGAGAAACTTTCTAGGACCTTTGTTTGAACATTTTGCAATTTTTTTTTCATTTTTCTGGGCCCAGTAATTAAAAATGTGTCCTCTGTGGGAGCCATACGGTTTTCTATTTGTTCTCAGGAAATTTCCAGGCTGTGGAAGTTTCTCAGGATGTTGAACACGTAAAATGGCTTTTCCGGTAAGAACAATTTACAGGAAAAATAAGTAAACTCTGAATAAAATATCATCCGTGCAGCAACATATTTTCTGAATTCTGTCTGAACCGACACAGACTGACCAAGATGGTTTTAAAGTTCAGAGATTTATGAATGAAATAAAAATAAGAGTTAATAATTGATGTGAAAAGGTGCCACATGCACATTTAAATTAATTAAATCCCCAAATAAAAGGTACAAAAGAGGACAGTGGAGTACGCCATATCTGTGTGTGTGTTAAATCACCACAGATAGTATTAAATGAGACATGCTGATTGACAAAGGGATAAATATTTGAAAGCGATAAAAAACGCCAGTGTTGGTGCATCACATGTCCCTACAGAGAAAGGTCAGGAGACGCTTAGTGGCTCTGACAGGCAGCGGCACGTCAGTGGAAGTCTGCATAAGTGGCAGACGGTAACGGTCTGTGGCATTTCAGTGACACCTGAGCAGCAGTATGTGGCACCTTAGTTACTCCTCAGTGGCAGTATGTGGCACCTTAGTGGCAGTATGTGGCACCTGAGTGGCAGTATGTGGCATCTTGTGGTACCTGAGGGGCAGTATTTGACACTTTAGTGGCAGTATGTGGCATCTTGTGGTACTCGAGTGGGTGGCTGTATTTGACACCTTAGTGGTAGTATGTGGAAGTATATGGCACTTTAGTGTCAGTTTGTGGCAGTTTAGTGGCAGTATGTGGCACCTGAGTGGCAGTATGCAGCATCTGAGTGTCAGTATTTGGCAGCTTAGTGGCAGTATGTGGTACCTTAAGGCAGTATGTGGCATCTTGTGGTACCTGAGTGGCTGTATTTGACACCTTAGTGGTAGTATGTGGAAGTATATGGCACTTTAGTGTCAGTATGTGGCACCCCAGTGGCAGTATTTGGCAGTATGTGGCAAAATGTGACACCTGAGTTGCAGTATGTGCAGCCTGTGGCAGCTTAGTGGCAGTATGTGGCATCTTGTGGTACCTGAGTGGCAGTATTTGACACCTTAGTGGTAGTATGTGGAAGTATATGGCACTTTAGTGTCAGTATGTGGCACCCCAGTGGCAGTATTTGGCACCTGAGTGGCAGTATGTGGCACCTGAGTGGAAGTATGTGCAGCCTGTGGCAGTTTTGTGGCAGTATGTGGCATCTGAGTGGCAGCATATAGCACCTGAGTTGCAGTATGTGCAGCTTAGTGGCAGTATGTGGCATCTTGTGGTACCTGAGGGGCATCATTTGACACTTTAGTGTCAGCATGTGGCAGCCCGTGGCTCCTGAGTTGCAGTATGTGGCATCTGAGTGGCAGTACTTGGCAGTGTTTGGCAGTATGTGACACCTCAGGTACATTTCAGGTCCAGCTGCTGACCCTCTTGGCAGGTAAATCCTGAAGCCACAGGTTGTCTCTGAGCTGTCATTACCTGCCTGCGCCACTAGGAGGACCCGGGCCTGACTGCCCTTAGATGTTCAACTGTCACCTAGTGGCTGATTGAAGTGTTTTCCTTTAACATAAATAAATAGTTTTCCATCATTAATAAATGCATGAAAACAAATCAAGTCGTTATGAACACAGAGCGTCTTCACCGTCAGCCCCCGGTGTCTCCTCACCTGTCGGGTGTCCGGTTTCAGAGGACGCGTCCTGATGGGAGGGTCCACGGAGCGCGTGTTGTCGCCGCACTGAGCTCCCACTGGTCAGGGCCAGCACCGGGAGGTGTGTCGGAGCGGCGGCGGTGCTGTGGGTCCACCGTGGAGCCTCTGGCTGCTCACATCAGCCCGACAGCCGCTGGAGGAAGTTGTGATGCGCGCATGCCGCAACTTTCTGCGCGACTTCGACTCTTTGGATTTTGGCGTCTCCTCCGGCCAGCCTTCTGGGAAGCTCTGTCACTCCGCCCTCAGTCCGCTCTCACCATGGACGAGGACAGCAGCGTCCTGCCCGAACTCAAGGATTTAGAGACAAAGTTGGGTCGCAAAGTTCCGGACAGTCTCGTGCGGTCTCTCGCCGGCGGAAAACCCGGAGACAAGCACGAGAAGTCCGCGTCGGCGCATTCGGCCAGCCGCAAGTTCTGGGCTGATTCTGCGGATCTGGAGAGACTGGAGGGCAAAATGCTGTTCCTCAAACAAGAAATGGTGAGAAAACTGTCTATTAACTGTTAGAGTAGCTGTTAAAGTAGAGTTACAGCTGATTCAGTAGCTTTAAAATGCTACTAAATGTATCTTATATGTAGCCAATGCTAGTTTTATACACTTGTGCTATTACAAAGCTAGTTAGCTCTTTTTAAAATGTTGCTAAAGCTAATTATTTACCCACACATGTGATAAATAAATGCAAAAAAACACCTAAAATATGACTGCACCACAGCTAGTTTAGTGTAAAATAAGCATTTTTTTCCTACTTTCCCAGAGTCACAGTGAAGTCCTATC